AAAAAAAAAATTACTTTAGCAATATCTCACCTCTTGAACATATGCTTAGCAAACCAGGCAAGATCATATTCAAGTTGTGTGTCAGCATGGTATCTTTTCAACATACTCAGTCTGTTTGATGAACAAATAATCTAAGAAGGTGGACTGTATATAGTAGAATGCAGCCTTAGGAGTAGAGGAAGATCCATTAGCCATCTGTGATTTACAGATAACAAAACCTTTCTTGCTGGAAGTGAAGAAGATGTGAAGCACTTAATGAAAAATTAAAGCCTACAACCTTCAGTATTGACACCTCAACATAAAAGAAAAATCCTCACCGTTATACCAATAAATATGATTGAAGTTGCCAAAGATTTACTTTTACCTGGATTTGCAGCCAACACCCATGGGAGCAGCAATCAGGAAAGAAGTCAGATGACATACTACATTGAGCAAACCTGCTGCAAAAGAACCCTTTAAAATGTACATAAGATTGCTGTGAGTTGAAACTGACTTGGTTATATTCACCTCAACCAGGAGAATTGACAAGTGGCTGCAGAGAGGGCTCATGTATGTCAGAAGTGGTGAGGATGACAGAATAGGACAGAGTTCAGATCTGTTGTTTATAGGGTCACTGTGAGTCATAACTTTATTTAACGGCACCTACCACCAACAACAAATTCAGCCGTAACAACCACCTAATTGATTCACTTAGGAGATTAAGGTTCAGATCCTTTTAAATGTGAATGCCCTCAACCACACTAAACCCTTTCCACAGTGGCTGCCTTGATTTTGCATCTGAATGCTAGAACTTGTGAAACAGGCACTTAAGTGCTTTTTTTTCTCTTGTTAAAAGAGATGTTTTTATAGCTTGATGAATATATTATCAGTTCTGGAAGAGGATATTTTCCAAATTAAAGTGTCAGATGTCCCTCCACAGTTTCTAGTTAAAAACTTATGTTTTCCATAGCTTTTTGAACAGATTTTGTTTCAAGGTGGCCACCGTCATGAGTACTATATCTCGAGTTCTGTATAAAGGGCTTTGAGTACCAATTACAGCATGATTAAATTTGAGGTTTTTTAATGTAAGAAAAATTATTGGTCTTACTTTCGCTTGCAGGACATTAGATTGGACATTCCTCCCTCTTGTTAAAATACTAATATCATGTAGTCTGTATATAGAATTAAAATTTTAACTTAATGTGAATATATGACTGTTTTAATGCTGAACCAAATATAAAATGGGGCAGTTTGTAAATTTTTTTATCTGATCTGTTAAAGTATTGCTACTGCTAGTCAATTGTTTTATTTCACACACTAATTGTACACTTAATGTATGCAAGCTGCAGTTCTCAGGACTGAGTTACTGTAGCGAACAAAGCAGACAAATGCCTGCTCTTAGGGAGCCTACAGACTACTGGGGATAAATAATAAAATAAATGAGTAAATACTGTATTAAACTAAAACTGAGCCCATTGCTGTCAGTTCAGTTCTAAGCCGTTGTAACTACATGTGGTACAGAGTAGAATTGCTCCTGCATTCTCTTGGTTTTAATCTTTACTGAAAGCAGATGGCAGATCAGATCTTTCTTCTACAAAGCTACTGGATGGGTTCATACCACTAAAATGTTTTTGCCACACAAGGATCTTTCATAAAATTTATATATGTATTGTTGCTGCTAGGTATCAATGAGTCATCT